TGTAAAAAAGGTATTCTCCGTTTAGATCGAAAGGGTGAACGGTTTTCAAGATATTTGAGTTTAAAGGTTCCGATGCATCGATTTTAGTATTATCGAAATCGGCGGAGATTAATTTATTTAAAATTCCTTTACATTTTATCATTTCACTAATGCTAAAATCGTTGCTTCCTAATGCCGGGTCCAGACCAAGGCGACAAAATGTAAACTCGATTTTGAGACAAAAACAAAACAAACTTGCGACAAAAAATGGAGAATTCTGATAAGATAAACTTGAGACAAATTGTCCACACCGTAAGGACAAAAGTACAACAAAGTCAAAAGTTCAGTTGTTGCGAATGAATTTTATTAACCATAAGTGATTTCACTCTTCTCCTACTGTTGGCAGCAAACGCCATCCACACTGCGCCGACAGCTTGTCGTAAAATATACGAACAAAACATAGACACTTAGATCTTTACCGACTCGAGCCGGGACATTGGAAAGTCTCCCAATTTTGAAACAAAACAAAAATGAGACAAAAATGTCGCAGAAATGTATTGGATTTGTCGCAATTTTGTCGTAAAACATGAATGTTTCTGTCTAGTCATTGTTTTGTCTGCTTGGTCTGGACCCGACATAACATTTAAATGGAAATATTGAAAACCGTTTACCGTTGTAACTAACTAACCTAACCTACCCAAGCAGCATTTGGACGTCGGGACAACGTTGTGTCACGCGACCAAACCTCTGGGCGCAACGTCGGCACAACCTCGTGCCAACCCTAGTCTGCACTAGTTTGGAGAATAATTTTTGGGTCGAAACGACGTTGGTTGGATACCGACGTTGGCTAGAAGCCTAATTTAGTACAAACTGCAACGTTGTTTAAAATCTTAATTCACAGAAATACAAAACTAATATGGCGTCTAAGTCGCGTTTTATCCTAAATTAGGATAATTATAGTAAAAATATTATTTTTATGATTTAGTTAGAGACATATGTCAGATGGCAGTGAAGGAAAACAAAAAGAAATATTTAAGTGTGGAGGATGTTTGAAGATCATAATTATTGAAACCATAGACTTAAAATAAAATATAGACTGAGCATCTTATTCATAAATAGCTGGAACGTGCGGTCAGACAATATCTTGTTATTGTTGTGTTATTGTTTTAGGTTATAACGAGTGCGACACGAGCGATAGATAGGTTGTCTTTGTCGTAACGATCGTTCCCTGACGACTCTGCCGAGAAACACAACACTGTCTTTCGTTTCTCAAGTACACCTGAACTCTCCGTATCATAGCCGGGTATTTTTTTTTATTTTAATGAAGCTATAATTAAATTAAAAATATATCGTATTTAAACTTTTTTTATATTTTATTAAGATTTAGGACAGGTTTTTTAAATAAAAGTTTAGAAAAAACGTCTTAGAGTCCAAAAAGGATAAAAATAATACAATACACGTTATAGAAGAAATTTTATAATCGAAATTACGTAATTTTTGAAATTAATAATAAATTATTAATGTTAGTCAAACATTTACAACCCCTAATATTAATCAAAACAGAATCTATTCCACAGATATAATAGAATCGGCGACAGGGAGAGAAAAAAATATGATTGTTGTAATTTTTTTTCGGGTTAAGTGATGTCTTAAGTAAATTAGAGAAAACGTAAATCTGTTCCATTAAAGCAAGGAAGGTGATAGGAAGTGGATAAAATGAAAACTACATTTATTTAACTCGGTACTTTCTTTATTATACCGGGTGCGTCCCAAAAGTGGCTCATCCCCATAATTTTTTTATATTTTCAAATAAAAAAACAAGATTTAGTATGTTAGTACATGACATAAATTAGGATTGATTGACGCGTTCAATTGTTTTTGGTCACTTCCTGTTTCACCGGAAATGACTATAACTTTTAATTTTTAAACGGCACTCTTGGTATATTTCTACTTTATTCGATAGAAAATGACACTCTGAATAGAATGACATATCATATGTCAACTTTTGACATTCTCGCATATGGTTTAATTGTAATTGTAACACGCGGTTCATAACGACAATTTGACTCGAAATACTCGTACCAAGTGTGTGGTATCAATATATTCATAAAAAAATGCTTTTTCCAAATATGCTAATGAGTCACCCTTGTTCCATTTGAAAAAATTGACATATGTATGATTAAAAATACGATTTGTACATCTTTTAACCGGCCTAGACAAGACACGAAACCCATTAGACGATCAAAACTATTTTTCCAAGGCTCCTTGATTAAAACTTAGTGTTTTTAACAACACCATGGCACCCTGGATTGAAATTTAAAATAGGATTTCTTTTTAAGCGACAATATCAAAAGTTGACATATGATATGTCATTCTATTCAGAGTATCATTTTTTATCGAATAAAGTAGCAATATACCGAGGGTGCCTTTGAAAATCAAAAGATGTAATCATTTCGGTGAAACTGGAAGAGACCAAAAACAATTGAATACGTCAATAAATCCTAATTTATGTCATATACCTACTAACATACAAATCTGTTTTTTTATCTGAAAAAATAAAAAAGTTATAGGGGTGAGCCACTTTTGAGACGACCCGGTATATTAAAAAATATTGTTTCATAATGTAATATCATTTTAAAATTCTTGTATGCTATTTTAGATTCTGAAGATAATGTTAGAATAAACCGGAATATATTTTTAATAAAAACATTATTAATTATTAACAGGGTTATAATGATGATTTTGTTACAATGTAAATAATGTAATGTAAGAGAAAAAATTCAGATTTTACATTTTACTAAAATATTTTTTAAATAAGCGCCTTTCTACAACAACGCCACTGACTCCCAATGGGTAAATTGAGAGTTGCCTACCGGTCAAAAGTCGTTTCAAGACTTAAATGGATTATTTAAGTCAAATTTCTCGCAAATTTGGCACTGGCGAACCATATTTTATAGTTCTTGAACAGAAAAAGTCAATAAAATAAACACTTAAGGACTACAAGCTAAGAAAATGCGTTAATACAGCCGGGGAGATAGCGGCAACAAAGCTTTACCGCACACATGCGACACGTACTACAAGGTAATAAATGAATGAATAGGCTCCCTCGCCTCTAATCGGTGTTGTCATATTGTAAAGAACTTATCCTTTTTAAACAGTATCCGACTTATAATTTAGTAGCATAAGGACTATTTAATACATCTCTGGAATATTAAAACCTACTTTATTAAACTGTAGTATTAATATCTCAATATATGTGTATAACAAGAAAAAAAATATTGATAATATTAAAGACGTGACAACATAGGCTGGATGAGGAAGGCTCGGTCGACTGTACCCAGAAGTAAACATGTGTACAAAAAATATTGTCTGTCCGCGTTGAGATGTAAATAGTGTAGTCTATATTTTATTTTAAGTCTATGATTGAAACACTTTAACCGACTCTGTAACTCGTTACCCAAGGCCAAAAAGTTAAACGCAAACAACTTTATTGATAAATTTATTGTTTCTACTTTGAAAAATACTAATGGGCCTTAAAATTAAAGAAGTTTTAAAAATTTTCTTGAATTTTTTTTTTAGTAAAATGAGAATAATTTATTCGCAGCCGAAAAAATTGTTTCCGCGTGTTTTTTAGCGTCAAATATTTCAAGTTAATGTATTCAAAAAGCAGGAATTGCTATTTTAGGAACGAAACATTTTCTTATTTAACAACATGGCGGCTTTCACTTTGTTGTTTCGGAGATTAAGATGGAGTAGTTCGAGTAGTCGCATACTGGACTAATAAAGTCGCAGTTCGGCCTTAACAGGTAGTATACTAGTCGCAAGATTGCCTAATGTAGTCATCCTAGAGTCTAGCTTGTGCCGCCCTCTATAATCTAAATAAACGAGGGAGTGGATAAACTATCGGTAATATATGTCGATGTATATTTAAATTTAGTTTTATATGTACCTTTCTTATGTCCCATTTTAATTAAGTTTTTTTTTATAAAAACAAAACCAGCACTGAACTGTCTGACTGAACAGAATAATGAAGTGAAAATTTAAGATTTAAGGTTATGGTTCAATACAGTTGCAAAAAGGTAGTGACTCGACGTCTTACCAACGTAAGAATAAGGAAATCTAAACAACGTTGGAATTAGTAACACAGACGACGTTTGCATAACGTTGGAATAGGTCCTGAAACTGACGTCGGAAAACTCTATATTGTCCAACATTGTAACTACGTTGTCCGAATCACCTAACGATCACTTAAGCAAAAAGGGTTACAAGACAACGTTTATTCGACGTCGCAGAAGCTTCTACTTTGCTGTAGTACTAGTCCAACGTCGGCACAACGTTAAAAAAACGTTCAAATTTATTTTAATACCCAAGGTAGGGAGCTAACTATTTTTTGTAACTAATCCAACGTTGTGTTTAGTAAACATGTGGTCGCAAGTCGTGAAAATGCTACTTGGGTAACGAACTAAACGAAGAGCACCTTTTTTACATAAAAAGTACTAGCTTTAATTCTCATTCATTGAAATTACTGTATCTATAAGGACAAAAGAAGTACCATCAGTAGTACTCTCTTCCCTGGAAAGTACCCTTTTAGGGCTGTTAAGGAATTTTACACGATCGCCATGCGCTTTGGTATTATGTGTGTAAGAGTACCGCATTTCAGGAAAAACGGTTTACCAAAATGTTCTTAAAAATAAACAAAATATATTATTTTTATTATAATATTTTGAGGGCTGTAACTTCTTGGGGAAGTATTTTAGGGCATATATTAATAGGAATATATTGTTTTAATTTTACCTGTAGAATCACCCGCCGAAAGTTAGATACACTATTTTTTGACACCCTGTAGATATAGTGATTTTTTGACAAAATATGTCGATATGATAGGGTAGATAATTATTTGATTTTTATATCATTTCGAAAAATATCTTCTACAATATTTTAATATTATGCTTAAATTATGTCTAATTTCGACTAGTAGTAAGATTTTGTTTCTTTTTTTTATTCTTCTTTATTTTTACTAGGTAAAAGTGTTTGGAAAATGGCATCAAATTCCACGCCAACAAGTTGCTTATGGCGATACAGGACTAAAATATACTTTTTCTGGAACAACTATACCAGCAAAACCTTGGTTTCCTCTACTTGAATTAGTAAAAAATGTTGTTGAAGAAATTTCAAGATGTCAGTTCAATTTTGTATTGATTAACAAGTGAGTAACACCGTATGATCGAAAAGAAATCGCGTCAAAGACGGATGGGAAATGACAATCTATAATAATTTTGGTGAGGTCAGTTTATAAAAAATTGCTTTTTAGAATTTTGAAGTACACAATTTAAAAATCATTTTTATTCAATATAAAAATAAATTACAACCTTCTCAAGACTAAGTAATGATGTCTAGGGTTTGACCGCGCCAGAATTATCATCGACTATCAATATATTCTTACTAGCGCGTACCCGCGACTTCGTTCTCGTTCTCTCTCGTTCATTAATCATTTGTAATGGTGATGATAAAGCAAAGCAAGAATTTCCATTAACGTACAAACTGGATAAAATTTTCTCACATTTATGTCAGCATGAGAAAAAACAATATGGCGATATTATTATATAACTTGGTAATATTGAGAGGTAGTTTCATCTTGTTGGAATTTGACTTTCGAAAAATCCGTTTGCCAAAAATAAGCTTTTTACGTCAAGCAGTTTAAGCAGAATCGTGGTTAATCATTTACCCAACTTTTTGGAACACCATTTTATGCGTGTCCAAGCGTTTTCCCGAAAGACTAACCGTTTTTTAAATAACAAATATTATAATATTTAAGGGGCGTTTTCACCCTCTTTGAATTAGAGATTCGAGAAACCCCTCCTTATCGAACCTCTACATCCCACAGTCAATCCGTTTGCCAAAAATTAGCTTTAAACGTCAAGCAGTTTAAGCAGAATCGTGATTTTCACCCTGTATAAATTTTTAAAAAATCATAAAATATGTAAAACAACAAAATAAAATATACGTGTTTAAGAGTTTTTCTGAAAAACTCAACGGTTTTTAAATAAAAAATATTCTAATATTTGAGGGGTGGTTTCCCCCCCTAAGAATTCGAGTTTCGAAAAATCCCTTCTTGTGAATCCCTTCAAGAAAAAAACTATTTAAAATATTTAAAATTTAACTATTCCAGAACACTTTAGTTTTTTAAAGATATACATCTACAAAAAGCTTTGACGTTCTGTTAAAAGTTAACAGAACAAACAAGACCAAAAAAAAACATATTAACAGATTAATAGATAAATTAACAGATTTTTAACAGAACGTCAACGGTTTTTGTGGACGTATCTGTTTTAAAAATCTAAAGTGTTCTCGAATAGTTGAATTTTAAATATTTTAAATAGTTTTTTTTTCTTTATTTTTTGTATTTTTGTTTGCTTCCGACGACGGAAAGAGATAAACTGTCCGAAACGTTAAGCATTTTTTTTGTTCGTTAGGCAAATTTGTATATCTGCCAACTTAACTGCTGACAAGTAGTTTCCGTTGCATTAACGCAGCACTATTTACAAAAAAATAACTATTTTATTTTGTAGACTTTCTTGCAGTGGCGAAATACCCATACAGAATTTTTTTGGAAACCTGATGTATATTTCATATCAATTAAACTTTTAGTAACGTAATCGAACGCGCTATTTTTAAATTCATTGTTGCCAACCACGGACATATTTGGCGCCGTGCTGACTAAGGAATTTAAATTTCGCGCTAGTGATTCAGGTGGTAGCTCTGCTGTAAAAAATGTCAAGCTGCCATATTTACTTATTTATTTCCTGATATTGTCTTTCGTTTTGACACTTCAGTTTTGTATTACGAATTTTTGGTTTAAAAAAATAATGTTGTGATACTTTAAGCTTAAGAATGTTTACTAGCAGACCTTGCAGGTGAACATTGTTCTTTTTAGAATCTCTTTTAATGCGAAGTGGACAAGATAGCTTAACAGCCCTAAAAAATTCATCATCGCAAGTTTATTAGAATATTTTGAACGGGAAAGCGGTAGTAGGTAATGGCCATTTATGTCGCTGAAGTGTTGTTAAGAAGACGAATCTTGTTGATGTAAATAATAACTGTTTATATATCTATAATTAATTTATTTTTGTTTCCTGAAATAGTTTGATTTAAAGAAAATACACCCTACATACAAGAGTGGGCAACGCTGCGCCGGTTAAGTTAATCACGTGATTAAAAGTGTATATGGTATGAACTGTATATATATATATATATATATATATATATATATATATATATATATATATATATATCATTTTTTATATAAAAATAAAATTTGATATATTTTTTTTAAATTAAATTTTATGAATTTATTTATCTAAATCATTTATTGAACCTCAGTTCTCAATCTAAAGGCTCAGGTACACAATTGTTAGTTTAAATCACTTATAAACTAAAAAAAAAAAAATAAATAATAAGTCTAATTAAGGTATCTTTATTATTTTATTATCACAATTAAATAAAAAAAGAAAAAATCAAGAGTCATTTTTTTATTAAAATGATTACTTTTATACTAATTTTTTTAACATCTATTTTACTAAACTTTAATTGCATAAAATTAAATTAAAATGTAATTTTGTTAAATTTGCTTTATTTTAATACAATATTTAGTTTATCCGACTCCTGCCGAGTCCTGCCCTGTCATTTTTGCTGTAAATATTGTACATACAGGGTGACAATTTGAAAACGAACAGTATTTAATATTGCCTCTACAGATGATGACATATCAAGGGGGACAATTTTTGAGGCATTTGTTGTCGTGTTACTTTTAACCCCTTGACCCTCAGGGCACCTACCCCTAAAATTTTAAAAAGCAACCCCTATTTCTTTTACCATTTTTGTGTTTCTTATAGAATTCTACATAAACTGCATTATTTTTTTGAGAATTTTATAAGGAACACAAAAATGGTAAAAGAAATAGGGGTTGTTATTTAAAATTTTAGGGGTAGGTGCCCTGAGAGTCAAAGGGTTGAAAGTAACATGACAACAAATGCCTCAAAAATTGTCCCCCTTGATAAGTAAATTGACGTATTTCGCCAAATTTTCATACTATCATCGGTAGAGGTAATATTAAATACTGTTCGTTTGCAAATTGTCACCCTGTATACATAATATATCGTAGTACACCTGTGGCTACTAGATGAAACTGACTGGATTGGATATACAAATTATTTTTTAAGAAAAACTCTCTGCCAAAAAAAATACATAATTTTTTCAAGATAAAAAATGTTTTTGGATTGCAAATTATTTTACTTAAATGAAAATTATATCTTATAGAATTAAGAGTTAAATCGATCAAATTTATGTTTATTATAGATACAGAAATGGTTGTGATAATATAGGACCACACAGAGATGACGAAAAAGAAATTGATAAAAATACTCCTATTGCCTCACTCTCATTAGGACAACAAAGAACGTTTGTTTTTACGCATAGAGATGCGCGACTTAAAGGAAAATTAAAACGATCAATTGCCCCAGGTGAGTTAACAGTGAAAGATTGTTAGAATTATATTAGAAATTTATTTTTTCTAATACAATAAAGAGACTTTTTAAGAATAAATCTGATAGATGCTAATAAATAAAACACTAAAACATAACATGATTGCAAAAATATGCTAGAGAAAGTGTAAAAATAATTTGAAAAAGCATATATGTGGCGCCATCTTTGACGCACATTGAATAAATAGCTTGTTAGTGGCTAACGATTTCTATATTATCTATAAAATACCTAACATCGTTGTTTCAATTTATTGACTCACAAACAATATGCTCTTTTAATTTGTTTAACGAATTAAATAATAATATATAAATTTGAAATCATCAATTGTTAATATTCAATATAATAACTTATGCGACTGCTGCCATCTATGCCGTAAATATTGTCATATACATTGGTAATAAGTACGCAGTTAATGGCTGTTAGATGGCACTGGCGAGTAAACAAATTTTGACATGGAGGCGAATAAACAAATTTCAACGTAGATATCTATATCTAGGAAATCATTTATTGAGAGATATTCTGTGTGTTAACAAAGGAACTTTAAATAGTTAATTTTATTTTATCATGGTCTATATTACAGTTGTTTTTGATAAATGAATATATCCTAGTCGACGTATTACTTTGTATATAGATATTTCTACCTTTAATTTTTGTTTATTAGTACCTATTTGATTATTATTTCAATTATTTTTTCATGGCTTGTATTTTATTTATTTACGGAAATACTGGGCGTGTTTCAAAAAACATGTGCTATCACTCGTGGGGAGATTCGTCACGTAAAAATAAGATTTATTTTTCATATCAACATAGGTCTGATTCTGCTTTGTTTTGTAGCTACAGGGTGTTAAAATCTTAGTATTTTTCGATTTATTCAATTTCTTCCAAGTACTTTTAGCGTTTCGAATAAAATTTTGAGGGTAGAAGTTACTATAAATGCGACATATTTTAAAGCTAAAAAAGTCTCGACATATTCACCAGGGACGTGCATATGGGTTATCACCGGAATATCTGTCTAAACAAAGTATGTACGCCACTGACTTTTTTTTCTCTTGTTAGCAAAATAGGATAAGAAGTTTAATGCCGATTAAAAATTGTCTCTTGATATTTTGTCGATTTCGGCCTTCTTGATGAGATAAACGCAATTTTATTAATTTGCCTTGATCCAAGCCTAATAATAGCAACATTTAAAAAAAATAATATCATTAACTTGCGAAAATTTTAAATAAGTACTCACTGATTCCTCACCAAAAAATATGAAAAAAAAGTTCCTATAAACATGGGCATGGAAATGCATAGTTTTAGAGTTACAGGATGTTAAAACTTTTTAAAATTAGATTTCTTGTAATTATCTGAAATACCATTTTTTTTTATTTGAAATTGCTGTAGGTTGGACTAATGATTTAAAATTTCCGGAAAAATTGAGTCATAGAAAAAAACCGGGTTTTTTTCCGGAAAAAAAACGGAAAAAAACAGAAAAATTGAAATGGTGTTAAAAATCAGTGTAGAATAGTCTGATAAGGAAATTAGCCCATATAAGCCTCATAAAAACTTTTTCTTCTTTTTTAAAATCATTATTAAGTAATTTTAATAAAATTTTGATGAAAAATACACCCTACGTATCCTACGATACTGGAAATCCCCCGTCTGCACAATTGGTCTGCGCTGGGATTCCCCTATGAACGTCGGTATACGAACTACGGTACTCATCCAGTTATATGGTGGAAAGGTTTGTGTACATCACAGCCGCTTATGAAAATTACCTTCCGGATTTTAAATGGGCCTCCATCCTCTGCCTCTTCAGAAAGAAATTGGTCCTTATGTGGTTTTATACATACTAACAAAAGAAATATATTGACACAGGATAAAGTTCAAAAGCTGGTTACTATTCAATCTAGTTTAATGGGCTTAAATATATATGAAAATGGCAACTATATGTCTAATCCCAGATGATTTCCGCTTTTAGAACAGTCTGCAAACGTTGTGGATTTAATTCAAGATGAAGAAGAGGTTAATGTGGAGGCAGATTCAGATGCCGATGCTTACTCAGAAGCCGAAGACGGATCAGGATCGGACTCGGAGGAAGATCTTCCTCTTAGTTTTTTTTTTAAATAATATTTCTGTTTTTTGAAATGATAATTTAAGTTTGATTTTTAATATTTTTTTAGATTTATTTTGTTTAAAAACTTGAAATCGAAGTTATTTTTATATTATAAGAAGAAACATTTTATTTGATTTTGACTATTGACCCCACAAGAATGTATAATTTGGTTAATTTACGTTTATTTTTGCTTCTATAAATATAATTTGTGGTTTTTCAATTATACCGTTTTTTCCAATTTTTCCAAGGTATGTGAAAAAAACAGTAAAAACCGTGTTTTTTCCAATTTTTCCCGATTTTTTCAGAAGTGTTAAATCTCTAGGTTGGACTAATAGTTATATTGTTAATTGTAATAATATTTAATAATAAATTTAGTAAAACATATAATTTATTAATTTTATTTTAATTTTATTAATTGTGATTAATAAAATTTCGTTTATTTTATCAAGGAGGCCGAATTCGACAAAATATCAAGAGTAAATTTAATGCCTGTTATAAGTTTTTAACAGGCATTAAACGGCCTATATAATTTTGATATCAAAATAAAAAAAAAGTCAGTGGCGCACATGACTCTTTTTTGAAAAATATTCCAGTGATAACCCATATGCACATCCCTGATAACTTTATCTACACTTTTTAGCATTAAAATATGTAGCATTTATAGTAACTTTTACCCTCAAAATTCGAAACGCTAAAAGTACTTGGAAGAAAATTATAATAAATTCAAAGACTATTAAGACTTTAACACCCTGTAGCTACGAAACAAAATAGAATAGAACTTACATGTTGATATGAAAAATAAATCTTATTTTTAAGTGAGGAATCTCCCCACGAGAGATAGCACATGTTTTTTGAAACACCCGGTATATAATTTATTTATTAACATACTATTTTATCTATATAATTTTAGTAAAAATAGAATTGGAACCAGGCAGCTTATTGCTAATGAATTCTCCAACCAACGAGGTCTGGTACCACTCACTGCCACCAAGAAAATCGCTCCACAGCCCAAGAATCAACTTAACCTTTCGAAAAATTAATTCTTAATATTTTTTTCTTCGAATGAAATAATTCTAATTAGTTTTATGTTATTGTTTATTTATTGTAGTTTTAATTTATTTTTAACTTAATAAGTATTTGGTAGTTTTACCGCATGCAATGTAAACTCACCGGCCAAAAAAATCGGCCACTAAAAACTAGTCCCACTTTCAAAGTTGGATTTCTCGCGAACCACTCATTAGATTTTGATGATTTTTTTTTAAATTCTAAATTAATTCCTTCTTAACGGATGCTACGTCAGAAATTTTTATTCCGAATTTATTTTGAGCATATACTTCTTCTTCTTAGTGTGCCGTATTCATTTAATGAATGTTGGCGACAATTCTGGCAAATTCGTCTCGATCTTGGGCGACTCTAAAGAGTGAATGGGCATCGAGACCAGTCCAGTCTCTGATGTTCTTAAGCCAAGAATACTTCTTTCTTCCGATGCCACGTTTTCCTTCAATCTTCCCCTCCATAATCAGTTTCAGGAATTGATATTTGGTGTTTCTAAATATGTGGCCCAAGTAAGCTGTTTTCCGTTTTTAACTATTTGAAGCAACATTCTTTCCGTTCCCATACGTCGCAGAACTTCGTCATTTCTCACGCGATCAGTCCAAGGAATCCTGAGCAATCTTCGAAATATCCACATCTCAAAGGCCTCTAGTCGGTTCATAGTTTTTTGCCTTGAGGGTCCAGGTCTCCACGCCATATAGTAGTACTGAGTATACGTAGCCTTTTACAAAACGGTAACGTAGGCGTAGACTCAGGCTTTGGTTACTCAACAGAGTTCTCATGTTCGTGAATATTGCTCGGGCTTGTTCGATCCTGCTTCGAATCTCCGTGTCTGGATCTAGGTCTTCGGTAATCCAGCTGCCGAGGTACTTAAACTTCGGGACCTGTTGAATCTGTTGGCCGTTCACCGAGATGTTTAGACGGTCGATCGGGGTTCTGCCAACCATCATAGTCTTCGTCTTATCGATGTTGATTTTTAAACCGAGTCGCTCGCCTTCCGCGGATACTCTATCGATAAGTCGCTGTAATGCTTCTTGGTTATCAGCAATGATGACTGTATCATCAGCGTAGCGAAGGTTATTAACCGCGTAGCCGTTGATCTTTATGCCGTCGTCTGTGTCCTTTAAGGCACTGTCAAAAATGGCCTCCGAATACAAATTAAAGAGGAGGCGACAAGACACAACCCTGTCTTACACCCTTCTCTATTGGAAAACTAGAGGTGGTTTCATTTCCTACCTTCACCGATGCTATCTGGTTTAAGTAAAGCTTTTTTATGAATGCCAGGTCGTTCCTGTCCACCATTTTCTCCTCTAGAAGTTTTATAAGTTCCGAGTGGTTGACACAGTCGAAGGCTTTCTGGTAATCTATGAAGCACACGCATACATTTTTTCGCTGGTCTCGACACTTCTGAAGAAGAACACTCAGACTGAATAATGCTTCCCTTGTGCCAAATCCCTGTCTAAACCCAAACTGTGTGGTGCTGATCTCTGAGCATATACAGGGCACAACAACAAGACGAAGTTTTTTGCCCGAACTTTGTAACACCCTGTAGGGTGCAGCAGCTGTAGTAGCTATTGCATTGTAGCCTCATCTTTTGTGAGCATTTTGTTTTTTTAATCACGACATTATCTCTGTTTGTATTGGAGATACGCTGCTTTAAAACGAACGTCCCGGAAAAATGCTTCACAGGCAAAACTGCGATTCATCCGTGAATAGGACTTTAGTCCATTGCTCAATATCCCAATTCACATGTAAACGCGCAAACTGAAGACGTGCTCGGCGATGTCTTGGAAGTAGCTAGGGTCCTGTGGCAGGCCTCCTTGCAGACAAACTGTTTTCTTTTAGTCTTCGTCGGATTGTTCTCTCACTGACTTGAGTTCTACGCACGGCTTGTAGATGTTGATTCTGAAAAGCTGTAATTCTACGATTTCGTAAAGTATTCAGGACAATAAAGCGGTCGTCAATTGCATTTGTCTTCCGTTTTCTTCCGGAACCCACTAGCCTGGTGAAATTTCCCGTTTCCATATACCGATTCCAGTCATTTTCCGACACGTTCGTTCTAAAGCAGCATATCTCCAATACAAACAGAGATAATGTCGTGATTAAAAAAACAAAATGCTCACGAAAGATGAGGCGACAAAGTGATTTGATTTAGCAATAGCTACTACAGCTGCTACACCCTACAGGGTGTTACAAATTTCGGGCAAAAAACTTCGTCTTATTGTTGTACCCTGTAAATGCTCAAAATAAATTCGGAATAAACATTTCTGACGTAGCATCCGTTAAGAAGGAATTAATTTACCTACAAATTAAAAAAAATCATTAAAATCTAATGAATGGTTCGCGAGAAATCCAATTTTGAAATTGGGACTAGCTTTTAGTGGCCACATGCAATGCCGTTTTTTTACGGCATGCAATGTAGTTACCTAAAATAGTTTTCATTCATTTTTTTTTGATATTCAATATTTCGAGCATCGTTCCAGAGTAACTACCTAATAAACTTAGATTTAAAAGAAAAAGAAAAAAATGCAGTCTATCTGTGAGATAATTTAGAAGTCTCCTCTGAAACAAATGATTTCTTCCCTTGAATAGAGTCTTTCACTACTGGAAAAAAAATCTAAAAAGCCACACTTTATAGTTTTTTTTTTGTTTTGGGTACCCTAACGATTATAAAACTATTTATTTATTATTTAAAATAATTTTAAGTCCGACTCTGGTTTTTTAAATTATTTAATCTGATTATATTCATCGCAGCAATATTGATCAGCGCTAATTAACATTGAATAAGGAAAATCGAGCCAATTGAAAGATTCAATTAAATAATATCCAGGTCAGCAATTTAAAAATATTATTTTAATTTTTTTATTGTGAATTTGAAATAACATTGTACGATCTAATAATATGCATAATATTAATCGTCGTTATTATAAATAAATCTACTTCTACAAACTAGTTTCTAATGCTCTACATGTTCGAAGAGGTTACCACCCTCCCTAATGCACACATTTATTTTTAGTCCAATCGTATTTATCGTATTTATAGTTCTTTGAACATATCTTCTTCTTATACTTCCAAATGCATTTTGTACTCTTGTAAATGTTGATTATCAGCTCATTTGAAAATCTAAAAATAATGTCAGATGCCCTAATAAAGTGGCTACGAAAATGTGTAATTAGTTTTTTGATTTTCTAAAAAGTAACAACAAGAAAAAATAAAGTTGATTTTCAAAAAAATCCGTTTTTTTCCAAAAAACTCAGCAATCCTTGAAATTTTTAAAACTTTTTTGATGACATCTTGGTGAACATACTAAAGCGCAACTTTGTCCCAATTTAACCATGTTCGTTGTTCGTATCTATCACCACAGAATATATTATACGCAAGCAGCGTTTATGGTTCAAGCTGCGTAGTATAGTATATTCTGTGCTAATACGGTTACCGAGATACCAATGCTCTTACCCCGAATTTGTAGCACGCTGTATAAAATGCAGGGTGTCCCAGAAATAAGTGCAAATATTCTAAGGGGTGGTAGATCTGGTCAAAACAAACATTTTTTCGGTAATTTCTTTACCGTTTTCCAAATAAGTCCAAAATAACCGAGTTATTTTACTTTGAAAATTTCCAAAAAATATGAATTTTGCTAAACTTTTGAGAACCTATTCTACTACCTATTTTGCCATATTATCAAGAAAATATGTTTTTTAACTTAAAACTAAAAAAAATCCATTTTTTTTTTCAAAAATTCCAAATTTTCAATTTTTTTTTCGCAAAAAATACCTCATAGGCGTGTTTCTGAGGCCGAAATATACTACCAGTTAAAATACTTGCACTTATTTCTGGGACACCCTGTATAAAAGGCAACCCTCGTATAAACTAATATAACATTAACTTTAGTCTAATGAGCCTAATTGAAGACTTGATTTGAAATTAAATTAAGATTTGGAATAATAATCAAATTTATATATTCAATAGATAAAAAAAATCTTCATATTCATCATTAGGGCAGCAGCAAATAAGCGTTGCGTATTCCCTCTGTTTTTACTCGAATTTTTTTACAGAGTTGTTTAAAGTGACCTGGCCAACCAGGATTGACACAAAATTTACAAATACTGAAAATTTTAATTATGCTTATTAACGAAAAATTTTTTTTGTTTATTTTAAGTTCTTCGTTTTATTGCCAGATAAATATTAATTCTGTAATGTAAGACCAAACCTTGAGTTTTCCACGAAAACTAATAATTATCGATAGGTTATAAAACACATTTATTAAACGGATAGTTCAAAGATACTGAACATTTTTTCCACGCTGCTTTCACAGGTTTGTCAACTGTATAAACTTAGGGTTATATTAAAAGGTTACATGTAAATATACGAAATTGTATTTGCATTTTCATTGTTTTCATTATGTCGCTCGTCACGATTGTAATTTGAATTATTTCAAATTTTTGGAATTTTTCTTTGAACAGCACCGTGGCACAAAGGTAAAGGACTTTTGTATTATGATCGGGATGTACTTAAGAATAGAGTAGATAATTAGATAATATTTTACTTTACTTAGTTGATTTTAATTTATTTATAAACACTTCACAGATATATAAGTTACAAGAATGAAATACTAGAGGATCGAAAAATAAATGGGGTCAGAATTGTTTGAAAATAAAGTTTGCTGTCATTTTATATCAAAAATTTTATAGTGAATGGCATAATTCATCATATCCAGGCCAACTTGACGACGGTATTTTTGGCCATACAGTTCGTTTTGAAAACAATTCTTTAGTAGAGGTGGTTGTGCCTTATTTATTCTTGAGAGCTTGAGATATTTGGGTTTGCTTAAATACATTCACCGGCACGAAAAACGGACACCTTAAAATTTTGATGCAATTTTAAAGTTTAATATATTTTCTACTAGTGGGCCTATTTTGATGATTTTTTAAGCATTTTCTAGTTAAATTATTTGACTTTTTAGTGTATCTTTCTAAATTAAAAATGAAAATTCTCAATTATAGGACGGAAAATAAAATGTTGATAGTTTGGTAAAAGTTTGAAACACCCTGTGGAATACGTTAACAAAGCGCGGAATTTTCAAATCATTTTATCATCTAGGTGCATCTTTTCTTGATGGTTTGTTTTTTGGTTAATCTCAATAGCTTTATTTTTGTTGGAGATATTCGCTTTTGAAGAAGACATTAATATTTTTTCGTAGTTTTTATTCTGATAATAAAATGTTACAGAGCTACCGATTAAATAAAGGAAAAAAAAACAAAAACATATAAGAAAATTATTACTCATACCGGATATTACCCTCCCGAGCTTCTCAATTATACCTAAATATTTTAGTGACATAATTTTGTTCTCTAGCATGCTATTGACATGACCCAAAAAACATCATTAAATCTTCATTAAATGAACTTCGCTTGGTTCTTAAAGAAGAATGGGAAAGCATAACACAATATGATATATGCAGCCCCAATGACAGTATGATAGTATGAACGGACTCATATACAGGCAGTTATAGCTTATAGCAGCCAA